AATGTGTAATGACAACAGGGGGCAGGAGAGAAGGATATAATTCTGCAATAATGTTAATTGATTGGGTCACTGATTCACACAAGTTGACAACTCTGTTGATTGTATGAATCCAAATGCAGCAAAGCAACGGGCATATAGTAAACCATGTCAAAAGTCTTGTCATGCAGTAGACTTATATATGGCAACTATTTTCAAAATGGATGCCTAAAGCCAGGGAGGGGGTTGGGGCAAACATTATTTTAAAATCATGCAGTTTTTCACAATGCCGACCACTTTTCCAGTGATTTGGGGTCAAAGTTGTCAATTGTGAACCTCCCCAGGAATTCTTTGAAAAGTAAACCCTCCCTCAACAAAAGCTGACTACGGGCCTAATCTGTGTTCACTACAGAGAGGCAATAATATACAGGAGTGTTCACTAGGTACAGGTACTAGGCACAGGTGTTCACTAGAGTCAGAGAGGCATTCACAGGCTTAACTGACATATTCACTATGTTGTATTCTGTTCCATTTCACCCTCCATTGTAAAAAGCCTTACTTTTTGAACAACCCTTATACATACAGTAAAACCTGTGTATATACTTAACATTTTTTGCCGAGAAAAAACATTCAGTGTTGGTAGGTATTCACTACAGAGAGGGTAATTAAGTCAGTAGAGTATGTGCGGAGGAAGGGTGTCCACTAGAGACTGGTGTTCACTAGAGAGGGGTGTTCAATAAGTAGACACCTGCTTATTCAAAATCATATCTGAATCAGTCGAGTTTTACTGTACATTATATAAATTCAAATTACTATTTCTTTGGATAAAACGTGCAACAAAAAGCGAATAAAATTTAATCATAAGCTTTTCATAATTATTCTTTAATTATCAGTTCACAATATTTGCTAAACATTAATGTGATTCAATAAATTAATTCCAGATTCAATATTGGAAACTTTTCTTCATTAATTTACATCCTTTTATTCCTAGAAATGTCAATGAAGGAGTGGGTGTCTACTTCTTGTATCAACACATACAGGACTCTAACATAATATATACAGATGTTTTGAATTAAATAATCACATGATCTTTTCATCAAGTTTTGTCTCATTGTTTGCAGGCTTTAGATGTTTTCTATTGTAGAACAACCCTTGTAGAATATATTTCATTCATATAATTTCTACAATTATAAACAAAGTGAAAGCGCATCGGGTTGTACTTATTGCAAAAATCCAAAAGTTGTAGAATCGAAAATGAGGAATTAAAATATAAAATAGTATATATACTGATGTATCATGTGAAAGCAAACTCCATAAACCAGAGAGAAAATCGAGAAATGATTTGTAAGAGGTGCTACTATTGTTTATGTTAAGCTGCCTATTGATGGGTTACTGAAGGTAATAACCCAAAGGATTACAGCTAAATATTTGCAATTATACAAATTACACTCCAGTCATAGAAATAGGTGATTATATACGCTGACTATTGTGTTGTTTAGAGGTTAACCGATTACCCTCTGAGCTAGCTTGCTTGTAAAGTATTATTCTCAAATTCCAATAAAGGACTCATAGCACTTTCATACAATTCAGATTACAATGTTTATTTGCATGAAGAATGTATTTCTTATTCTTTCGTCTATATTTCTCTATTTTGCATAATAAATCATGAAAGTTTTGATATGTAAATTAAGGGTTAATAAATTCTGCACCAGTGAGCACTAAATGCAAATACAAAAGGCATAAAAAAGAACAACAAAAAGGGCGTTATTACATTTTCTTATTGTAACAAACATTGAATGAGAAAGAATGCATGATACAAGTCAAGAATGGAAAAACAAAACATGTCAAGCTCATAGCACCAAACATTAGTAATACTAATTAGAGAGTGTACTTGTAAGCAGTATTGGACCCTGCACAGCTTTGGAGGGGGAGGGTAGCCTGCACTGCACCTTCATGAGATGTGCTCAAAGTAAAAATTATCTTTCCATTAGACTCTTCATAATAACATGCAAAATACCACCACCTGCCATTTGTTACATATGTTATAGACACCAGAATGCCGAACATCAACCACCGATTGCCAACTGCCATTCACAAAAAAAGTATTCTTTAACTATATGTCACCAATTCTGGTGGTGACATAAACATTGGATTTGATTTGAATTGTTTTTTGTTTGTCTTGGCTGCTATGTGGCATTTTCTAGCCTTCCATTTTTCCAATTTTCCATCAAAAAGGCTTAAAATGTTATTAAAGAATTCGAGGTCTCACGGTCAAACATCTGTAAAGTGCCAGGTCAAAATGACTGGTCCAATTCATGACGCATCTTCACATGTTGCATTTTCCAATGGACCACACATCTTGATAGCACAGTTATAACTTCACTAATACTGACCATAGGTCAAAGTAAATCATTCAGAAAACACTTTTAGTGACTTATATCATTCGCTTCACTGTATGCAGACAAATTAACAATAGAATTTCCTCAAGTGCAGCTCAGGATCGAATAAAACCTCTGTTTGCATATATATGAATGCAAAGAAATATTCGTCCTTTTAGGGACCTAATTAATACAAAAATGTTAAAAAAATTATAAATTGTGATTTTGGCCACATCAGTTATAATTTACAATCACAGTTATATGGGCCACACATCAACAAACATAATCACTTACAATAATGTATTTTTGACTATGACGACTTTTACTTTCAACTTTCTCCACAGGATAGCAAATATGAATTGCATAATTATTTTGGATACTTTATGATTAAGATGTAGATGGACATCATAGCATGAACCCATTATGAGTTTATCTTTTTTAACATACTCTGGGATCACACGAGTGAATTCATATTACCCATATAACTTTCATGCTGTACCCATGCATATGTTTTTTGCTTTTTTGAGCATAAAATGCATCCTTTCAATCGTGAATGCGTATCGATAAAATTTGCTCATTTACAAACAAATGACAACAATTATTTTAACCCATGATCAATCCCTATCTTAATAACACTGCCATCATATTTTCATCAAAGGGGTTTCAATTTTTTTCTTACATAATCAGAGAATTGTAATGTGATTAACATAGCTAATCAAACAAAACCTATGGGCAAAATATGGGCATGGGGGTAATTATATTGGGTATGAAAATGGTATCATCATTATTATAGTACAGTTACAAAATATGAATTGCGTTTCTAATAATACAACAGAATAGCATGTCTCTTAAAATCAAAGTTTAAGGTAGTTCCACAACAAAATTTGAACAAAATAGTTTGATTTTGGACTATGAATTCTACCATAACATATAATTATCTACATCAAATTAAAAAAATTATTAGCTTTTTCAACGAAAATAATTTGATTCTGGACTATGAATTCTACCATTACATGTTATTATCTACATAGAATTTTGAAAAATATTACCCATTTAGAGAAGTGCAGAAAATAGTTGTTCAGTCGCATTAGTAATACATTGAGGGTCTCAATTAATCTCCAGTGTCCATAATCATGACTTGCTAGTCCCTTTTAAGACGCTATAGCAAGCCTTATTACAACAAATTTTAGACATTTGAAGAGGAAAATAAAAATGTTTGTGAATAAATAAAAATAAATATGTAAATAATGCTAATTGTTGAAATAGAGCTTTGTATTTAAAGAATATAGCAACAATAAGATCTGACCTACATCTTTGTGTTAATTAAAGCATCAACACAGACTATTTTGGAAGTGAATTCTTGCAATTTTCTTCAATAATTTTTGCAGAAATAAAGACAAAAATACACTTTTTTCATCAACTCCTGGCTCATTTTCATGATCGAATCGATTCTAGTTTTCTTGACTAGTAGACTTGAACCACTACTTAAAATCCTAAGATGCATTGAGTATCAGCCAGGAGATGGATTATAATTAGTTGTTTACAAACAGTGGGTTTGGGTTGACTTTGTGTGGTCATTAATGGAGTTTCTCCCCTTGAAATAAGCATCACTGTTATCCATACATTAAGTGAATATCTTAATATTAGCCTCCGAAGATTACCCCTTGGTTGATTGATTTTTGGATATCTGGACCCAGGATGTGAACACTTTAAGCCTTTTAAATATTTGCTTTCACTGTTCAATTAGATTATACCAGTTTTTTGCCAATTTATAGCTTTATTTTCGATCAATTTCAATAATTGTCACGTGAAAGTATGATCCAGAAACACAATTATGAGTTGATACTTTTTTATAACAGAAAAAATTTGGGGGACCCATTTTTTGCCAAAAGATTTGGTCACTTGTATATATTGTTTGAATGATTGAAGTGGTTATATATGGCAAAATATTGTTTGATATCACATCAGGATGTGGAAAACAATTTCTCATCTAATGTGAAGCTTCATTCAGGGTCACGTGAAGAAAAAATATTTTTGATCATTGATCATTTATGAATAACTTGATTTCCAGCAATATAGTCAAATGCGTGGATTGGGACAATAGCTCAAATACACAGTGCCATGCCCAGGGGGGCTCACATTTGACAATTTTCTCCCAAAATCACTGAAAAAGTGCTCAGAATGGTGTAAAATTGCGTGATTTTGAAAGAATTTTTGACAAGGGTGAGGGAGGGGGTTACATGCTACAGGCCTGAGTGCTATTAGCACCTGCCCAAAGTCCTGGAGCCAGAATAACCTTACTGGTCCATGATCATCCTCCTAAGCAGGTGTCCAGAATCCGTCCCTCCTTCTTTCCCCCTGCTATAGCCAATTTGAAAGCGCCCAATAAAACTGAATCATGTGATCTAATTATGCGCCGATGACTTATACATGATTGCTGTCGCAATGTTGCAACAGCGAATCAGATTGCAAGTTCTAAATGGGGGAAATACTAACTGCTTATTGCAGGGGGTAAAAAGAAAGAAGTATTCTGGATTTTGAAGCCCTGTGATCGGAGGATGGTACATGATATCCTTTTGACACATCCAATAGATAAATATGTAATCTCTTGTGAATAGATGTGCAATATACGCAATATACACTCACCTTCATCCTTAGAATCAACATCAAGCTGCCCTTACTATCTTCATAGACTTTTTCCCAGAGAAGATTTTGGAAGAAGACATCAAGTTTTTTAGGATCCAACTCCCCTGAGATTTCCAATGTTACAGTTGACATTTTCTGAAAATAAAAATTTGGCATAATCATTCATTCTTCAGGGAACATCGATTGGGCCAGTTTGAATGGAAGATAAAAGAGATTATTAACTGGTGGAATTTACTATTAGAGAAACACCTTATAGATTTGCAATGTAGAAAAACCCTCAGGCCTGAAGCCAGGATTTGCCAAGGAGGTTCACTTTTTGAAAAATTCCAGGAGGGTTCACTTTTGACAAAGGCCCAAATATGGCCAAATCGAAAAAGTGCTTAGAATGGTCATGGGCTTTCAACTAGAATTTTTGGCCAATTTTTTTAACCCCCCTGGCTACGGGCCTGACCCTGGTATAGTAATATGAAGCCTTTTCTTGGAATATTTGAAAAGCATTTTGTTTGCCACTCATTGAGTAAGTTTCATAATTGGACTGACACTGGAAGGTAAGGTAGAAGACTCATCCTTGGAAGGGGCCTATGTGATTTATTAGGGACCGATACAGACATACTAACATCACAGCCTGAATTCAGGACCACTCAACCAAGTGAGTTTGTAATAGTACAATGCAGACATTATCCTATAACTGGAATCTAACCTGGGATCACTTGTACCAGAGGTTCATGAAAATCAATTATTTTTGATGACTTGTGCATTGTGACATCATGAAAGGCAATAGATTAAAATGTTCATGATTTTATCGAGGTATTATCGCTCATGAACGGCCAATTGTGGCTTGAAAGTGGTTGCACTTAAAAAAATAACTTGCTTCAATGAACGTTATTTTATTACTTTGCAACCATGTTGACCAATGCTCCCTGTGGATTGTTTTACTCCATTGAAACCCAGGAATTGTGATCTGAAATATTTCCCTTCATAATGATTATATTGGAGCCCGAGACAAAATTCTGTTCTCTGATTTATCAAAGAGAGTTCACGTTGACAAACTTAATATGTTCAGATAAACAGAACCTTTGATTTGTTCTCTTATGCTTTTATTTCTATTAGATATAATCTATGAAGTATCTATATCTATTATAATCTAAATTATCTAAAGCACTTCAATGCACCACTTTTATTAAACGTGCTAGATGTATCGACTCAATCTGAAGTGTTCAGCGTCTCCCAGTATTCTAAAGGTGCATATCCTTCCATTATGGGATAAATATACCATTTCATTTCTGAGAAGTCAAAAATATAATTTCCCCAGTGAATATAGATTTTTACATAATATTGTATCCAATTGTTTATTTGTTAAATAATTTATACAGCATCACTATATAAGCATAAAATCTGCTGCAACTCTTAAGGTTTTAATAATTAACGTTTGAAAGGGGAACTGTTACTATGGTGATTATCATATTAATTAACAAGTACAGGTGCTCAGACTTAAGGTATATATTACAATAAGCCAGGGTAAATAGTTATTATAAGTTCAACAAACATTGACAATAGATAGATAAGTTAAATGGCTGATATTGAGATCCTTGTAGAAGGCAGAATCAGAGATATAAGGGGTAACCCAGACACCTTATAAAGGTTACTCATTAATTTCCTCAATAAGGATGTCCCTTACTGTATGTTTTAAGAATCTGCACATTCCCAAATGTTCGATCAGATGACATGTATATTTTTAAATCTGAGGTTGTTAATAGTCCATTGGTACCTTAAATTGAGCAATTTTACCAATTCACTATGACAGATTTCGTACAATGCATTAACATGGAGAATATCACCACCTGCTATTTATTACAGAAGCTGAATGTTGATCACTGACTGCCCAACACCTCAGGCTGAACACCGACCACTGGACACAAAAGATAATCCCCAAAAAAGTTGGACACCATAAAAATGTCCCCACTTTTGTTGGTGACATAATAATATGACACGTTGAATTTCAAGCAATGTAATAAAGCTGTATGTATACTGCATTTGATCTGATAATCAGTATACCTACAGTTCACAGATACACTAATCCTTTAATTAAAGTGTGGTAAATAAAAATCATTCTGAGTGATTTGATTTTTTCAAAAAAGGACACAAGTGTCCAGAAATAAAACAAAGGTGTCAATGGAATATATTCTTCACAATTTAACATCACTTAATGTACCCTTTAATTCAGACAATTATACAAATCAAGCGATCATTTAATTCTTCAGTACAACATCATGCAATATAATTATTCCAAGTTATTTAACTATTTCAAAAGGAGGTCACTTTATGTGTTAATATTGCATACAGGTATTAAAAGATACTGCAGGTGACAACTTTTATTGAGTGTTAAATTGACCTGGGTATCTGCCAAGAGCACCATTGTTCTAAAATACCAAGAAATAGCATGGTACATGTATATGAAACCCTATTTAAGCTCATATTCCTTGAATTTGCAGACATAATTTTTTCCACTTTGGAAAATGGGGGACAATAATTACAGATGTGATGCATCTTATACTCCATCAATACAAATATATTGAGATTGAATAAACTCATTGTTACATACTTGTACATACATCCATGTGCATTGTTTTTATGTATTACCTTGTCTACATTGTGTGTCCCTGTATCTACAAATCTATTCCGTCTCTCATCTACAGTACCATTCAACACACTGAAAAATAAATATCAAACTTTTAGATACAAAAGTAATAGGCATATTCCTACTAATTCCCCTCAATGAGTACAGCAGGAACTTTCAAGATGATGAAATTAAATTATCAACTTTGTTGAACATTCATTCATTACAATCATTACACAAATTTACGAAATGAATGTGTTTGAACTGCCTGTCTTCATATACCATCTGCATAATAATATGTTATATAGCGTTGTATTACATCATGACATGAATGAGTGACGCAAAAACATTACAACATGTTATTTAAAGTGTTTAATGGCAAAAATTGCAAAATGAGGAAATCTCATTATTTAATGAAATTCAATGTTATTTTTGCCAAATAAGTATAAATAAACATTAGTAACTATGACCACCACATAGATTGCATTTTACATTTGTGAGGAATTTTTTCAAAATCTGATATTTTCAGAACAATGATTTGTTTCAATAATAATGGTGAAAGCTACAGATAATCATTAAACATTTATTTTAGGAATATTTAGGACAAAAATAATGCCTTTTAATGATATGTACAAATGACTAGATCGCAAAAAGGATACTTTTTACAACCCGAACTCAGACTCTGTTTGATGGGATCGTAACTTTCAATTTTAGTGGTTGAGCTGTGGTGAACTATTACAAGTTAAGTTACTTCATACGGTTTTCAAAAATATTTCCCATGTTATGACGGCTTGTTTTAATAATTAGGGGTATCATACCGCTTTAATAAAAGGCCTAAACAGTTGAACATTTAGTCAGTTTTGGAAAAGCCTTCACATGCTGAGTTGGACAAATGCAGCCTCCTTGTCCAAGTACAAACATTTATCAATATTTTCACTAAAAACTGCTTATATGTACTTATGTATATTTCATTACAAATTGTGTAAATTCATTAAATACTTAAAACTATGAATTGTACCATTGTTTGAATGCTGTTTCACCAGATTATGTTAATTCACTTTATAATTTTTGAATCTTATTAATTGTGATTGATATATCAACAAATATAATTTAATCTACATGTGTGAATTAAATTAACATGTCAAATTACACAAAGTGAGCAAAACACACGCCCTTCTCTAATTTGAATGCTGTAAAATATGGTAACAGTTATCATCATTTAGGTCCATGGATCTTCTCCCAGACCTCCCTTGTCCTTAGATATCTGCCCTGTAGTTTTTAAAAAATACAAATAAGTAAACAAAATACAAAGTAAACAAAATATATTAGATAATAAAAAATAAATGGTGATTCTGTGTTTTCGTGTCTTTTTCTATGTCTATTCATTGTTCCAAAGGAGTGGGGTAGAGAGGGGGGATATGGGGTATTTTGGGACTGTTCCTTTATAAATCTTCACAATATTGATGATATAATGAAAGTCGTGACCACAGTGCGGTGGATACATGTGGTGAAAGTGAATGGTAACATGACCTCGGGTCAACTAAAGTTGATCGCCCACCTTGTCTGATCCTCCATTTTGTCTCAATTCGCTTGTCGCAACAATAACACTGCAAAGAGCAACATATTGGAACACTATCACATCAAATGAATCATAAAATACTACTTCTTACTAACAGGATAGAGTGCAGTAAATTGAGTGAATATATTACTATTGAGATTACTCATACTACTTTTGATGTGTCCTTAATCAGGTGTTTCGAATTATTCTTAACTGAATTTGAAAATTTCTTGCAATATATAAATTTCTAGAAGAGATCTGCTCACTAATTGCTCATTTCTACACTTTTTCATATCATGGCTTAAACATTATTACTTTCAATTTTAAATACTAAATTCACTAACTGGACCACCTTGTCAGTTTCATATTTTCTGTGTTATCAATTTTGATCATTTATGATAGCTAGTTCAGTTTTTCCGCCAACTTGCCTTGCCAACTGCAACCTCATAGGAACATTACATGAGTCAGGTTGAACTAATGTCATCAACATCCATTTTCATTTGTAATATTGTGAATTGCTTTGTTTTGATTTTTCATTGCACATCGTAGAAAATTCTCACATTTGCTTACATACTGACAAATTACTTTTAGAATTATCTCTATATTTTTCCAATGAAATTAATTCTATTGTAGTTTTGATGTATAATTTAATCACATTCAAATCATGATCAATTTTTATTTATCTGAACTATGTCTCAGTGAAAATCTTAATTAAAAAAAACACAATAGAAACTTGATTCTGAACATTCAAACATGCAAGTACAGAATTATGAAGAGAGAAAATGTAGTATTAATTTGCATATTTGAAATTTTATTAGAGCAATGTTTACATATAAACCAATGTGACTGAAGTGAAAAACAGCACAATAGTGATCTGCCCTGCCATCTATATGAGTCCTAATCCCATTGCATGCAATCAGCAATCAAATCAAAATTCATTTACAAAACTGTATCGAAATAATTATCAAATAACATATACAGTAAAATCTGTATATAGTGAACACCTATGAAGCCACAAAAAGTGTTCACTGGTGGGTGTTCACTACAGAGAGGGGATTTTGTACATGAGGAAATGTAAATGTGTCTTGAAGTGGTGTTCACTAAACACAGGTGTTCACTAAAGAGAGGTGTTCACTATGACAGGTTTTATTGTATTTAACATGTGTTTACATAATATTTTGATTCCTGTCTTCAACATACGTGTATGTACCAAAATAAGAAAGTTGCCAACACTCATGTTTGTTTTCTGTTGTGAGGGATATAGCACTACAAGTGGTTAAACACTACTGCGGCTGAGTGCACTTGTGATATCTCATTGGACAAAACATGTTAACAGTTGACAGAATATGATATCACTGAACAAAGAACTTCAGTTGAGCTTGAAAGTGAAGATTCTTATCATGCAGGAGCCAACCTTTGACCTCAAATTTCTTAAGAATTGTTTTGATAAATAAATAAAATTAAAAGAATGGACAGAACTATTAGAAGATTTAAATTTTCAATGCTTTAAGTAAAAAATGTTTGCAAAAGTGACCACCAAAAAAACTACACTGTATATTATTTGATGGCAGATGTTCCAGTGATTGTGTACTCAACCAGACTCAGAAGTGGCTCAATCACTTCCTATGTATGGATTGTCCTTGCCTTATCCATGACATTTCTCTCCAAAATCTCAACTACCTCATTTTCTAGCATGTCAATATAGTTCAGAGTCATTGGCCTTTAATTCATTTCTTGCTTTTTATGTCCCATCATTTTTTTAACATGAACTTGAATTGGCACACACTGAAATGACACACACAGATTGTCTATCAATGCAAAAAACAACCTGACCAATTACCACAGCAACCAAAGTTAACGGATAACTCAATTTCCTGTCTCAGTAGGAATGAAATCATAAATGTGTATGTATGTGATTTCAAGTAAAATAAATTCTTAATGAGTATTATGATAATGTTAGTCCAGCATGAAACTTTCTTGGCTGGTAGTTCATGAATTTTCCAGTGACAACTTCTGACGACTGAGATCTAACTGTGAATCGTGTCACTGTGACAAAAGACCTACATCAGGTAGTTGCTTATTTCCTGCCGGCGGCCCATACAAATGTGCCATGGTGGTCAACGCACATGTAAATGAGAAGAAAGGACGCCGGGAGAATAAACATGAACAATTTGTGGTTTTTGTTTTCATCTGTACCTGTTACAAAGCATTTTGAAAAAACACTTCAAAACAAAGGATTTTGTTCCTGTGTTACAACTCAAAAATCCTTCGTGACGGACTTCATGGTCAAACCGCCTTGTAACCAAGCAATCAGACCTGCTTTGTAACTCATTGTAACCATTTTCAGATTTGGACATACAATGTAAATTTCAGAACAACTCAACTCAATATTAAAGTTACTTTACAAACACCTTTCCTGATATGAACATCAGCGATTCACACTAATATTTTGTCAACTTTCATACAGCTACACTACAAAGTACAATAAAACCTGTATATATTGAGCATTTTTTGCAAAGAAAACCTTTCAGCCCTGGTAGGTGTTCATTACAAGAAGGATAATTTATACAGAAGTCAGTGGAGTATGTGCGGAGGGAAAAGGTGTCCACTAGATACAGGTGTTCACTAGAGACAGTCTTTCACTGAGACAGGTTTTACTGTACTCAATTACATATTACATATCATATCACATATTTCTCACCTGTCTCCAGTATAAGCATTCAAGTCAAGTATTGCACCTAAGTCCACTCTGAAATACATAATATAAAACATGTCAACCACTGTAGGGGTCATGGTGGTATGTGGGGTGTTTTAGGTGACTAACTAGGTATGATTATTAGAGGGGTATGAATAGCCAGTATGTTTAAATCAATATTTTTGCAATAATGTGATAATTATGATGTGATTCATTCATTTATAAAGTAATATGGAAAACATCTGAAGAATCTATTACAAGTTAAAAAATATCAAAGTAACCAATGGCCCCTATATCTAGTTCAATTTTTGCCCAAATAATGCAATAATGTAAAAAGCTGTTATTAATTCATATGGCTATGGATTCTTAACCTTAATTCTAACTAACCTTAAGTAAATTATTGATTAGACATATTTCTTTTGAAATTTATTCATTTAAATTATTGTATTTACACAGGCTGGTATCGAAAAATTTGTCCGCTGTGACGGAGCATGCTATTTTTTCATAAAAACACTAAGAATGCTTCACGATTTATTTTTTAACTCATATGTTTCGTTATATCAAAGATAATTACTTACTCCATGCAATGGATATATCATTTGCGTGTAACCTTCACTTCTGTTTGAAGTCCAATAACGCTATGAGTAAAATCTATTGAAAACGGCGCCAGAGTATCAAACTCTAAAATGTACCATTTATTTTTTAACTTTTTAATGGCATGATATAGTGACACGATAATATTAACATATGTTTTCAGCATAACTCTGAATGTATTAATGAGATATTAATGCATTGGGTCTTTTTAATTTTTTTATAAAAAAAATATCAATATTTTTTGTCCGCTGTGACGGAGCATTTTCACAGTTCACATTTGCAACTGCTCCGTCACAGCGGACCAAAAAATTAACATTATTTTTTATAAAAGAATTAAAAAGACCAAATACATCAACATCTCATTTATACCTTCATAGTTATGCTGAAACCATATGTAAATATTATCGTGTCACTATATCGTGCCATTAGAAAGTTAAACAAGAAATGGTACATTTTGAAGTATGATACTCCGGCGCCATTTTCAATAGCTTTTCTTCCCAGCGTAATTGGACTTCAAACAGAAGTGAAAGTTACACGCAAATGATATATCCATTGCATGGAGTAGGTAATTTTGTATGGTATAACGAAACATATGAGTTCAAAAATAATCGTGAAGTATTCTTAATGTTTTTATGAAAAATAGCATGCTCCGTCACAGCAGACAAATATTTCGATACCAGCCTGTGATTTAAGTAATATCTACCCACCTTGATTTTGTGGTTTCAATGATTGCACTAGCACTGTTGATCCCACTGTAATAAGATTTATATAACAAGGCATTAACATGCAAAATGTCACCACCTGCCAATTGTTACAGATGTCAAACACCAACCACAACTGCCAAATATCATCACGCCGAACACCATCCACAACAATATGTCCCCACTTGTGGTGATGACGAGACAAAAAAGCACAAGAAGATTAGAACATTGATCAAGGACAGATCCTGAACTCGTGAATTATTTTCAGAGCACATCTTATTTTTTTACAGTGAACAAATTCATTTCAAGATTATCAGTTTTTAATCTTGAGGATGGACTGTAATAATTTACCATTGTGGCATCATAATTAGTATCATTTAATTGAAATACAGAAATATATTTTATTTCATTTTTAGATTTCTAAGTAAGTAATATTTCTATATCCATAAAGTAAGGTAATTATTACCTGACTGCATGTATAAGGGTCTCCTTCTCTTCAACTGTCACAATGTCTAACTTGTTCACTATAATCACATCAGCTAGGGCGACCTGCCTGAAATCACAAGGAGGTCCTACGTAAACATTTTATTTTTGACTTTTTTAAAAGTTCATTTTGTGATAGTATATAATACAATCAAATGAACACCTTGAGTGAACTTTTTTTTAGGTGATAATTTCATCAATTTAATACTTTGCAACTTATAAAAAATTCCCTTACTCTGTTAGCACAGGAGGACAAGTAATAAAACAGGGGTCTCATATGATTAAACAGGGGCCTTGAATGATTAAACAGGGGCCCCAAATGAAAAGACAACAGATTAAGCCAGAGAAGGAATTGACTTGCACTTAACTTCCTATTTTAGAAGTGTATCTTTTCCAGATACTAAGTAGGTATAGCAGACTTGATTAGTTCTGGCTCGTGTTTTTGTATACTTGGTTTAATTATTTTACAGCTAATTAGAAGATGGTGCCTTGGGTAAAGGTGTGTACACACATGGATGGAATTACACAGAGCAACTTCAACAGTATTCAAACTCTACCAACTGCGGATTCAAGACTTAATTTCAGCTTCAGAATCAAATAAGATTAGAAAATACATTGTAAAAAGAGGTTATTTTATATGATTTCTGATTTAGCAGTTTCATCCATTTTGGTGATGCAAAGGATTTTGGGTAATTTAATAAAATCCGTCTGCTTGGGGATAGGCAGACGACACTAGGCTGTGACTCTATGGGTGATGTGTACTCATGGCAGTGGAGCATAGCCCACCCATCCTGCCTAACATATCAATAGTGTAGAATTAGTTAATTTAGTCTCGTGCCTAAGCTACCTGTCTATAATTTTGTTTTTCTACCAACCGACAACATATTTGTTTGCGCCCTTCGCTTGGAGCATTAAGTATCGGGTAGACAAATGAATGGCAAACCAACACCATTTCAAACAGTTAGTATCTATTCTGGACTTTTTTGTAATCTTTCTCGATAGATATTTGATATTTGCCTGAGAAAATAAAAACTAAATATTTGACTTTTAACTCTCCTATTGTTATGTAAAATGATGGTGAAACTGCTGAGCAACCTAGGATTAAACTTCAATTTCATTTAAACTAAAATAATGTGCACTGAAGTAAATGCAGTTTTTTCAACAAATGGGGGATTTGTGAAAACGAATTGACTCGGGCAATTAGTTGTAAGATGTTGACTTTGTGTGTGGTCTGTTTTGTCAATTGTTACATATTAACTCTCTCATCTTTATCCTATTTATCCCTCCACATGTAGAAACACACTACACTGGCAAATACTTTGGCCCTGCCTCATAACTGTCAGATGATAGTAATGGTACTTATACCACTAGGAGGACTAAAAGTTTTTTTTAAATTGCTTGAATTCAATTTTAACTGAATTTAACTATCATATTCAAAGAGATGTATTGATGTGGTACTGATCACATTTTTGAACCTCTCAGAGACCTCTTAGAAAAATGAGGATGTGATGTTTATTTTTCAGAGGTTACTATTTTTTATTTGCATAATAAATTCTGATCAAGTAAATTAGATAAATCATTATTTATCATTGTTTCACATAATTATGTGCTCTTCTGTATTTGTTATGAGGCCTGTCTTCCGATGACTTACATATTCTGTCATGGTAAAGTGATAATTGTGATGATTTGCTGAGGAGGATCCAATGATCAAAAGTAAAGAACAAACTTCAGGCCACAAATTTGCTCCTCTGCATTTTTACTTTCCTGAGGATACATTGAGCAAACATCTCAAAGGACAGTTAAAGTACCCAATTAATTTGAAAACAATGGTTTAAAAAGAACACAGAATATCCAGCCTCTTTTTCAATTTGAAAGAGCAGACGGATGGCCTCTCTTTGAAACCAAACTGTGTCTACTTCTCTCAGGTTGCTTCAAAGCAAATATTTCTTGTTGGCAACACAATATTTCAATTAGAAAGTGTTGGAGTATGTTTCACCAATAACCACCCACTATTAACTACTTTAGGCCGAGGAAAGACAAACAAGATGGGGTAGTTAAAGGCCGTTAAAAGACAACAGTTCCCATGTGCCAATGTAATTAGGATAGAACACTAACAGCTACAAAACATACAATTTCCTGTGCTAGGACTCATTATTGTTCAAATTATAGAATTCAATTTTGATGATTATGATAACCATCAAGAAACAAGCCAAGGGATGACATGGTGTCAAGACAATTTTTTAACAAAATTAGAAATACATATGACAATGAATCACCAGTCGTGAGTATTTACTGGTTCGTATCATTTAATCCCATGTGTTAAGATCCCACACAAAACCTCAACGTGGGTGTACAAGATTGACACACTAGGGGTAGGATAAAATAGAAGAGTCGTTCAAAATAACAAAACATCCTAAATTACGCGAGAAGAAACTGTATATGTTTACCCTCTGTAGGTAAAAAGACTGAGTTCTGTTTTCATGTGGGGATAGACAGTAAATGCAGCATCAATAGGGTTATGGTAGCTAAACCATTAAGAAGTGGCGTGAATCATGCGTAACTGATTAGGTGAACTTAAAGCTAGATGTTATCAATATTTCAGTTTGGTTTTGTCACTCAAATAATACTGCAGAGGAAAAAAATTAAAATAATTGTTTTAAAGTTTGTGCAATAATGAGATGTGAACAATGGCCATGTTTTATGGAAGGTTGACATGTGCTATCAAAAGATTCCTCACTGACTTGAAGAAACTTTGAGCCAATAATTTTAGATGATGATGATTAAGCATAAGCGAAGGGTTTAACATTTATCATTTCACAATTTACAATATCACTAACCTACCCTCTATCATGTTGAAAATTAATGCATATTCCTTCATTCACATATTACCAACAATTTGGTATGCGTGAAAGTATAATTTTCAAAAACTTATTTTTGACTTTCTATTTTGTCATATTTTGGTGGTCATTTTGGAAATGGATCATGTTGAAAATTAGGTCAAATTGCAAATGTTGGTTGACTTGCAAATATATCATGAAGAAGTGTAACGCATATAATATACAATAGGAATTATAGGATGACTCAATATGATCAACAGAAATAGCTGTCATTGTGTGTTACATTGCAAAATGTTGACTAAAGTAACTTGAACTTTTTGCAAAATGTGTAGAGCTTCCAGAGAAAACTATGCGCACCAAAAAGTTTTGAAATGTTTGGAAATCGGGCACTTACTTGACAGCTTCATTGATTGATCCTGGCTCTGTTGTTTTTTCTAAGTGCTAGAAAATATGAAATAGGTTTTTTAACAAGGAACATCATAATGTGTAATCAGAGCACATAAATAGTAAATACATTACTGCTAGTGTGTTTGTATTTAAAATGGAAATAAATATAATTCAACATAATATACTATTGTAAATAAATATTTATCTTTTTTTACAATTATGTTAATTAATTGCATTATGCATGGCTTTTAGATTTTCAAAATGCAACAAAATGAAAATAAATTAATAAATATTTTCATGTTTTTTCTTAGAATACAGTCAAATATTGTTCTTACATACCTGCAGACAGTATTTGGCATCAACTACTGTGACTATACCTGAAAAAATAATAAATAAGTTTAAGAATCTCAAGATGGGATGGATGAATATTTGAATGAGCTACAAATGGCGCTGCACATTGCATGGCTTGGCTACTACATATAGGTGTCTCTGCTGTAAAGGGCTTGATGCCCTCGATAACTACCAAGTCTTACAAGTATTGATCTTTTTTGTTTCTTAAAAAAGAGACGCTAACTTGACCAATAGTTTCATTCTTTAGAATCTTGCTTAATCTTATTATCAAACACTTTCAAAAAGTTTCAGATTGGAATTTCAATGGTATATTTTTCTAAGTGAAACTTGCTCCCTGGTTTGGTAAAACACATATGTTCCATGAGGAAAGTTTATTTAAGTTTGGAGTTAAATAAATGATAGAGAGCTACAAATTGGCTGGTGTTATTTTATTAGCATATCAGTTTACTTTCTTTCACAACGTTTGCAGATAAGCAATTTGCTAGATTTGTTATCAATGAAAATAAATGCCAGAATCTTACTTTTGAAATGAAAGTGTTGAACTGTTTGATTGTTGGGCTTAGAGAGATCTATATCAAGTCCTACACCAGGAGCTGTTTATTCTACTTAGAAATAAATTGAAGTATAAGTCACTTCCAGTTTCACATCTAAGCAAACTGCACCCAGGGGCCTAGCACAAACATAATGTATCTAAGACAAAATCTTAGCAAGAAGATCTCTCAGTTGATCAGTTACGAACTGTTTGACAAAGGTATGTAGCTTTCAATTCCCTGTTCAGCAAAGAAATAATTTAAATAATTGCTAAAACATATAGTGTTCACTATCTAATTATAAAGATATGATGGGTAAATGTAAAAAGTATGACTGGGGAATTTCGGGGCAGGGGAAATTTCATCTATGGGACAAAATTTCCCAAATTCCCTGAACTATATACATGCAGCTCCACAATGCACACTTTAGATTATATAACAATGACAGTTTTCATTACAATTAGAGGTATCAACACAGATATGTATAGAGGATCTCCAGTGACAATTTAAACCAATGTGTTGAAAACAGAAGCATATTGGTCACATTCTCCTAGAGAAAGTGTCAGTCTGTTGTAAACATTACAGATTCCTAATGCAAACTTTACAGCTGTCAAAATAAACACAAGAAAACTGAGACAAAGTCTCCTAGCCATTTTCTGTTTTATGATAAATATCAGCCTTTAATCTTGTGTTTATTGACTCGTTTGTTTTTTATTGTAAAAGTATGTCTTTGTAGTTGTATGTGATTTAATTTAACTGTACATCTGTAGAGCATACAAAAACATTTGAATGAGATAACTTGAGCAATTTAAAGAAATGTGCATGAAATGCAATTTTTACTCTTTATATGAATTACATATTAAACATTATCCAATGACATAATGTGCAACTTTTTACCACATGATAATTTTAACCTTTAAAATAAATCAAAAGAAGCCTGAAATATTGAGTTTGTAAGAGAAGGGATAGGTTCACAAATTACCATCAGTTTGTTTGGTTTGGTTAAATAAAGAATTTATATCCTTGTTCTAATGATGTGCTACTTGAATCTGCTTATAAGAGATTAATGGGCTTTTTGGATAAGCAATTTTCGATGAGAGATGTTTTGCATAGTTGTAGTATGATTCTACAAAGAATGTACTGAATTATGAACTAATTACAAGGATATAAGTTGGATTATTTATATTATTTCTTTGTTATCTGGGCACTGGTCCTTGTGCTTTCCAATTATATTTTTTGTTGACTGAAAGCTACCCATAATCTAATTCCTCACACACAACCCATGAAAGATCCATACAAATGTAAAAAGACTCAATAAAACTTATTGGTCTTGGTCATAGGCCCCGGGAACATGTATAAAATAGCGAGTCGACATCTGTATTATACTTCTTTTAGGTGGTTATCCCCAACCAGCAATTATGAATATGCCAACTTTCGATGGTTAATTGTGCAAAGATTATCGCTTTTCATTGGGTTTTATATGATTCTAAAGTAAGATAAACTACTAAATAGTAACTTACGGTATGAATCATCACAGATATGCGAACTTGCACCCTATTTCATTGCATTATTTCGAGCATCGGTTAGCAAAATCTGTGCTTCGAAATCTGAGGGGACCCTGCCGGAAGTTGAATAAAAACAGATAAAATAATCACTAACTTCAAGTTATAATTATACTCATGTGTTACAGATTGGAACTGTTTGATAAATATATATTAAAGGTAAATAATTTCAGTATTGACTGAATACACGAAAAGCTTAATTATAGTAAAAATGTAGTTTGATATAACGTTACTTAACTTTGTCATTATGCTTAAACCAAGGTGTCACTCCTGTAAATCACTGAAAAATATTGAAAAAATTGAAAGTACTTAGCCTCAGCTTTACATACATACCTCAAATGGCCACAATGCATACATTTAAACCTACTATACACACCATAGAAGTTGGCATGGCTTCGTTTTTAAAGTATTAAAAACACCGCAAGTTGTATTTACCGGAGTGACACCCCAACCAGCTATGACAAAAACAAGATGGCTGCGGGTCTGGACAAAATTCGAAAGGGAATGATTTCGAATTAACAGGTGATTTAAAGCTAGAGATAGACAGTATAAAAATTTATTAATACACACAAAAGTTGAACGAAGTATCGATCCTACTTTTGAGTGATAATTGGTAAGCTGGCAAAGCTTAAAATTCGCGAATCGGACCTTAATGCAGTAAGATTCTGGTTGGGGATAACCACCTAAAAGAAGAAGTAGTAATACAGAATCGACTCGCTATTTTATACATGTTCCCGGGGCCTATGGTCTTGGTAGTAGTAAAGAAAAATATGTATGTGCAAGTGCCAATTAGAAAATACCAAATATTGGTTAGCAAGAAAGGAAAACATCTAAGTGTACACCAGTCATAAAGAAACAAACCCCAACTATCCCAAATTATAATCCAATGTGAAAAGAAGCAGTCTCTAATACCCCCTCTCTCATCATTCAAGTACCAATATTCCAAAGCAGATTCCAAAATGTGTTGCCAAGATATACAATATGTGGGCTATAGAAATGAAAAGAAATACAGATTATTATTAAGCTGGAGTTACAAAATACAAAACAGGTGTGAGCAGACTAGAACATTTGAATGCAAAAAATCCTCCCACTTCAGCCAGCAGCCCGTTGAGAATATGAAGACAGGTGGCCAATATAATAAGCTCTAGTAAATAAGGCGAATGATCACAGCTGCCATCTTTTGTAGTCAAAATAATCAATGATATTCAGCTTGTTATTGCATGCATCCACAGTATAGATGGCGCCACCTCCTTATGACAAATTTTCTTGTGTCGAGCAGAAATTCAGAAGTGCAGAAAACTTACCATCTAAGAAAAGGTCACTGCATAGTTCTTCATCAATCCAGAACATGGATGCAATCGGTCCTTAAAATAGAAAATAAACTTATTTATATTATCAAGCCTTTCAATGCATATTAAAGGGCTGCAAAAAGTAAACCCAAAATGTTTTTCATTTATGTTAACCAATTACTTGCACCATAACCAGACTTTGGTAAACAACAGCAAGTACCAACAGAAAAGTACACTAGTCATAAGGAATACAAACACCTATCCCAAATCATAATCCAACATGAAACGAAAGTGTCTAATACTAACCTCTCACCAAAATTCAAGTACCAATGTCACAATGTTTATCAAAGCTTGAAAAAATATCCTTGTCTAGCAAGCAATATGACAAGTTCAGATTTTGAAGCTTCAGTAATTATAGTAAGAAGGTTAATGTCAAAAAGATTGGTTGTATAAGTTACAAATCATTATGAAAGAAAACACTTTTAGGGCTGTTTAGTATGAGAGTTACAGCTGTTAGCCTTTAAGGAAGGGGAGGGCGAGGGGTCTATCAGAGATCCCTGATATATTAGTTTATCTTGATAGGGCCAGAAATTAGGAGCAAAGTAATGAGTTTATTTGACATTACGAAAATATGAGACCGCAATATAGACCATATACCTTATCCTTTTGGCCACATAAACATGTAGTTTTACCTATTGTTTGGAGCATCTTATGAATTACCTTTTTTATATTGATCATATGATATAGACTTTTATGACCTGTATTCTCAGTATTCTGATTGGTTAAATCTAATTAATGGATCATCTCCAACTCAGAGTGTACATGAAGCTCTCTTTTAAACAGACAATCAAACTTTTGGATAGGGTACTAAAACCTCAGCCACATTTGCTCAATGGCAGTTGTAGCTCCACAAAATCGATAAGAAAATCTGCATCATACTGCTTATCCCTATATTTTATGCTGCATATTTCTCTCGATTTTGGTAAGCTACAGCTGCCATATGGTTGCTGTAGATCAAATGTGACTGAGGCATTTAATTACAAGCCATCCGTTACACAATGAGATAAAGTATAACACTTACCTGGATCTGCCAAGCCTGTGGTTTCTAAAAGAATGTAGTCAAACTTTCCTTTCTTTTTCATCAGGTTCTCAATAGCTTGAACCCCATTGTCCCTAAAAACCAAGAACTATAACTGACAGGTTTCACTTATTAAAAGTAGTTATTAATTCATTTTTCTTGCACTGACAATTCATCAATGGGACAAAAATGAATGACACATGCGTTTTGATAAAAAAATACTAGTAACTCAATTCAAACATAAATTACAGTTGTGACATCTTATCTATCTAAAATTTGACCTGTTTTCTATAGTAGCACTCACATTGATTCCTCAAAATTGAGGTTTTATTGAAGGTTACTTACTTAACAGAGCAGCATAGGCAGCCATTCCTCAACTCAAGCCATTCCTCAAACAGTTCCCCCTCTTGCCCAACAGACATAGATTTCTCCATAGATGTGCCTACAATTTGTAATATATCAAAATATCAGCAAAACACACAAAAAACCTCTTAACAAGCTAAGCATTTTGTCACTTAATTGACAAAATATGGTTTATAGGGTATAGGTTTTTTCAAATGTTTCCCTTTGAGCTTTTAAAAATGATACTTGTACTGAAAACTCTGACTCATTTCCAGGGGTGAAGCAGGATTGAGATGATGAAATATAAATATAAAATAAATATTTTAAGATGGTGCATTTTTATCACACCATTGATAGAATATTGTTGATTGCTGGTTGTGTGGTCATTGAAGTGATGGGGTCAAGCTTTTTGCCAGGAAAAGCAAATGTGATCAAAATAGATACCTTCTCCAAATTCATTAAGAATGACTGCAATTTTCTTGCCATGCTGTTCTGTCAGAATGTAGTTCAGCAGTGTTGTTTTCCCAGCTCCTGTAAACAGATGAGTACATGAACATGTACATGTATATAATAATATTACTACTACATCTGTACATTGATTTCTTGACCAGAGTTTGAGCTAAGGGCTGATCCATTGGTAATTGCCAGGTTAATTTTGATAAAGACCAGTTGATTTTATTCCGCTAGATATAGGAACATAACATTGCAACTGAAGTATCATTGCTTAGAAGTAAGGAAAACTCCTTTAGCAGTCAAAGTATTATTATGAGTGGAATTTAATATTCACAAGTGTTCAGACTCATAGAGTGAGCCCTGGGAGACCTTCAAACAATCCCTGGATAAATATGGGATAGAGGAATACATGTACAAAGCCAAAGGCAATAATGAGATCTGCAGGAAGGAATTCATACAATTTACAAATAGATACTTGATATCCTATTAGTTAAACATTTTCTGCAATGTTAAAATATTCAATTAAAGCTAGTATCAACGTCTTGGTAGTAAAAGGTTAAAATATCCAAGTGAAATAAATGTTTTTTCATCTATTTGTTACAATCAGTAACATCAATACTCACCAAGGAAACCAGTTATGATGGTAACAGGTACTTTCTTGCTATTTGGGATCTCTCCTTCTTCTTCAACAACTGTACTTGCAGGTACCAAATCTGGCACCTCATCATCTGACGATTCAATGTCCATAGTCAGTGTACAGCTGAGCACCTGCCAATAGTTTAGGTTCCTGAAATGTAATTTCGTTTTATAAAATATGACAATCGGGTGGGTCTTTACACGTACAAGCGATTTCATATCTAGGTTGAATGTGATTCATACACTGATACCCTCCAACAAATCTAGCATCAGTTCTGGAGTCGGTATTTCTCACTTCAAAATTTGAATCACAAGTTTTGGTCTTATTACCAAACAAAAAATTCAAAACACACAAGAAGTAATTGAGGTCATTGGTGGCTTAATTAGTGGCCACTTATTTAAATTTTGAATGCTGATTGTGAATTTTTAGCCATGTAAATGTTAAACAATAATGACGCCAGCTTTGTTGGAAAATATCATTCTTTCTACCTGAAGCCGTAGAAATATACAGGCATGATTGGCAATATCGCATCACTTGGAGATTAAAAATTATTGAGTTGGAACTCTGGCTTGCACTTCCAATCTTCCTTGGGGTCTAAGCTTACATGTACTTAGACCTGTCTTCCGAAACTCTAGATGAAGATGCCCCGGCTCTGATGAGTTGGACTATTGGAATTTTGACTTACATCACCTTCTACATCAGATTTATAAATAAGATTTATAAATAAGACCCTACAGGTGCATCTCCCGAAATTCCTACTTCCAAAAGCACCTCGAACATTTGAGTATAAACAAACAGTGCATATTCATCCTTAGACAAAGGTTTAAGAGACTAGGAGTCAACTATAGACTATGGACCTACAGACTATGGATTCAATTTTGATCCATCTCATAGATCTTTAGTTTATTTTTATTTCTTTTACTTGACTTTTCTATTTTTTAGCTTGATGAAAATTGAAAAGAATTTGGATGAAAGAGTCTATGTCTATGTCTATGTCAATAATCCGCAAAAGGCTAATAAGCCCATATAAAGCAGATATATAATTTAACAGTGATAGAATTTGAATAGAATATAATTTAAAACCTTAACATTTAAAAATAGATCTATGGTTTACAACTCATTTTACCTGGGGAGACTGTCAGGCTAACCGCGTTGACATCACCCCTCTTTACCAGTAGTGCAGGCTTGTTGCTGTGCACTGGGGACCCTTTACATTAAAACATAGATCTATATTAAAAACACACCTATTTAATTGCAGTTATTGACATAGGCATAGTATGATGATTTAAAACTACTTAGACTATCACAGTCTAAGATGTCACCAGGTAGAGTGTTCCATTTAGTTATTGTCCTAGGGAAATAGCTAAATTTGTATGCATCCGTTCTAGTTGATGGTTGTATGAACTTAGAAGGATGATACAACCTAGTGTTGGTATTGATCTGTTGGCGGAAGTATGGAGGCACGTCGATGGCTGCTAGGTTCTGCTTTCCTTTGTAGAAAAGGAAAACTCTAGCAGCCTCTCGACGCTCCTTCAGTGGCTCCCACTGTAGGTCTTGAAGAGCTTTGGTGACGCAGCCTGGTTCCCTTGAGTGACATTTGGTTACAAACCTGGCTGCTCTTCTCTGTACCTGTTCCAACATATCAATATCTTTTTGTCGGTACGGATCCCATGCCGAGCTGGCATACTCTAAATTAGGCCGGACTAGTGACTTATATGCCTGAGCCTTCACTTTTTCAGGGCATTGATGGAGGTTGCGCCTGAGAAATCCAAGCACCTTATTGGCTTTGGATACAATAGTTTGAATATGTGTAGTCCAGCGTAAGTTATTTGTGATGTCAATTCCTAGGTATGGGATGTGTGTTACCGACTTAAGGTTTTCCCCTAGCATGGTGTAATTGTGCATGATAGGGGATTTACCTTTGTGAATATTTAGCACATAGCATTTTGATGGATGGAATTTCATTTGCCATGTTGATGCCCAGGAGACCAGTTTATCAAGATTCTCCTGTAGTGTTAATGCATCTTGCTTGCTTTCGACTGTCATGAATAAAAGGCTGTCGTCGGCAAAAAGCTTAAGACTGGCTGAGGATGATAGGTTATTGCCCATATCATTGATATAAACAAGGAAACAGAGTGGTCCAAGAACTGTTCCTTGAGGAACTCCTGATTTTACTGGAGTTTTTGAACTTGATTCACCATCGAGCACTACCTGTTGTGATCTTCCCACAAGCCAGGATCTGAACCAGTTCAAGTTATTATTGCGAATTCCATAATAGTCGAGTTTGAGCAAGAGGCGTTCGTGAGCCACCGTGTCAAACGCTTTGGAAAAGTCTAATACCAACATGTCTGTTTGTTTATTGTTGTCGAGGGCCCGAGCTATATTCTCTATTGTATTGACAAGTTGTGTTTCACATGAGTGTTTTGACCTGAATCCATGTTGGAATTTTACTAGAATTTCATAGAGGTCAAAGTGGGCCATAACATGATGGAATATAATATGTTCCATTATTTTACATGGTACTGACGTCAGAGATACAGGCCTGTAATTCACAGCCTCATCTCTTCGTCCCTTTTTGTAGATAGCAGTAACATTGGCATGTTTCCAGTCCATAGGCACTAAGCCTTCATCGATAGACTGTTGAAAAATTATTTGAAGGAATGGTGATATGCTGTCACTGCATTCCTTCAGGACCCTAGTCGGAATAAGATCGGGTCCAGTGGCTTTTGATGGATTTAGGCCAGTTAGCAATTTGTGAATTCCTTTTGTCGAAATTTTGATATTTGGCATTTCAGGAATTTGACTAGGTACCATTGTCGGTAGAGTGGCATCCTCATCTGTGAATACAGAATTGTATTGGTCATTGAGGATGTTTGCTTTCTGGGCGGCGTCTGTTATTTCGTCGCCATCTTTGTTACGCAGCACGCTGATACCTGATGCATCTTTGCGTTTAGACTTTATGTAGCTCCAGAAGCGTTTGGTAATGCCTTTGTGCTGAACATTCTCATTTATGATTTCGCTTTCATCAATGTCAAGCAGATCGTTGATGTAGCGCTGATGTTCTTTACGAATTTCACTATGGATTAATTTCCGTAGTGATTTGTATTTATGCCAATGATGAGGTTCATTTGAACGTTTGGCAACATTATATCGTCTTTGTTTCTGTCGGATCATTCTCAGTATCCTGGTGGTAATCCAGGGTACTTTGAATTTCCCGCTTAGAGTTTTACTTGGAATATGCTCATTGATTGACGATATTAATGTAGATTTGAAGGAGGACCAGTTGTCTTCAACTGATCTACTTTCACAGTTCTCTTTGAATTCGCTGAACTTAGATCGTAGAGTCTCTTTAAGTCCAGTCCATTCTGCCCGCTTGTATATGTGGACCTTACGAGGCTTCTTTTTCTGAATTTTCATTTTTAGGTTTATATCACATAGGACTGCCTCGTGATCACTCATGCCCGGAACCACCGAGATTCTTTCTGCGAGGTTTGGGCATGTAGTGAATACTAAGTCAAGGATGTTATTTTGTCTAGTTGGTTCCTTGACTAGTTGGGTTAGGCCATGATCATCAGTTATTGTAATCATCTTCTCATTAAGATCATTAGAATATTGAGAATTAGGCCTTATAGTTCCTTTCTCCCAATCGATGTCTGGTAAGTTGAAGTCACCACATAGGAAGATGTTTTTCATATGTGTATTACCATTAGCATAAAGTTTATCGAGGGATGTTTGGAGCGAGTCCAAAGCACCAGTATCGTTGTTTGGTTGACGATAGAAGGATCCAAACAGTATGTCCCCATTTGATAGAGATGCTTTGGACCATATGATTTCGCAATCAGCTGTCGCTTCATATTCGACTGATATGAAGTCACTTTTGACTGCGATAAGGACACCGCCAGCACCTTTCTTTCGGTCTTTCCTGTGTGGAGGTGGGCTAAGGTAGTCTTGACCAAATATCCATTTGCTGTCGATGGTGTTGTCCAGGTGAGTCTCACAGCCTATGATGACATCTGGCTTGTGAGTTTCAATTAGTTGTTGAAGGTGTAGTTGCTTCTCATGACTAATTAGACTGCGGAAGTTGATAGACATGAGGCGAACCTGGTTTCGCCTCTTTCGTGCAGTCAGCCTCGGTGGTTCTGATTCGGTAGAATCAGATGATGATGACGAATTGTCAAGATCAGAGAGAGCGCTGAAGGAGTTTGTTACCGAGGAATGAGAAAGAGTGGAGTCATTGAAGAAGCTGTTGGAAAAATTAGGTAGGGCACATCCAGGACAGATCCAGGTGAAACTGCCCGCGTCAAGAAAAACATTGTACTCAGCAGGGGAAACATTGCCACATTTGATGTGTACCCATGTGCCACATTCATCGCATTCAAGGGCGCGATGATTCTTGGCAACTGCTTTGTGGCACATACCGCAGGGAAATTTAACAGGACCTGGGTTTGGGTGGATGTCACCACTTAGAATAAGACATAGGAAGAGCAGTGGTGTGGAAGATTTCTTGTGAAGGATTCCACGAGAGCCAACAATCTTATGGAAACGTCGCAGTTGCATCAACTGTGTGTATGACTCTGTTGAAGGTAAGTGGTTTCCATGATCACAGAAAAAGAGGTCAATAAAACCAAGAACTACCACCTACTTAATCAATATTAAATCTCGAACTGTTCTACTAACTTTTCTTTTATATATAATGCTGTCTTCGACTTTTAAAACAGTACATTTACAATGGAATATATTGAAATATATAAGACATGGAATCACACAGATATTCACCTATTATCGCCCAGCAACTATAATGAGTGTGTGTTATTGTATTTTCAATAAAGGATAATGATGTCTCTGTGTTTGATGTCTACACATTTTATATTAATTCCTATATTTACGATATACATGTTAACAATTTGTTAATAAGATGATAAGATACAGCGATTAAGAATATATTTACTTTATGCTCCCGTTATATAAGTGGGCGATAACGGAAATATTATTTCACGATTTTTATCTCCTTTACTCCAAAGTTATATTTGAGATTTAGTAGAACCTTTAGAACGAATTGAATGGCATAATTTATTTTCCAAAGTATTTTTCAAGTATTTGAACGCTGAAAGACAGGTATTTGAAGTACCGATTTGTTTTTATTTTGGTTTTAGTAAGTTGTTGACAATAATTTTCGCGGGGTTTTTAAAAGCTAAAGTCTAAGGATCTAATCACCTGTCTAAACATCACACCGGAATAGCCTGACTACGGTAAAGTCAGATACCGTTGTCACAAATGGCGGACATAGCCGTCGCTTCAACTGTTTAATCACTTGGTCCTCATTTCATGGGATTTTATCGTCGCTAATTCTTTGCATGCTTATAAGCTCTTGTCATAATGTATTATATGAAATCGCATTTTCGATCAAATTGTGTCGTGAATCGCCACAATAAAGCGTCTTCGATATCGTCAATGACAACGGAATCTGAATTTGAGTAATTTAGAAAGACAACGGCATATGGTAATTACAGTGTCCGTTGTCCCGTATTTCATTTTGATCGGTTAAATTAAATACTTTATTTCGATGGTAGAACATTATTAACTGTACAATGAGTATTAAGACACTTTGATTGATTGTTGTTCTTAAAGGAATTTAGTCTAGGTGCTCTATTAAACATACAATTCATGAAAATCTAATTGAAGCGACGGTTATGTCCGCCATTTGTGACAACGGTATCTGACTTTACCGTAGTCAGGCTATTCCGGGGTGATCATGGGCTTTCTCTTGGAAGCAGATTGAAAGCCCATGTTTTAAATATGAATCTTGTTGATTAATCAGTTGCTTTTCTTGTATTTCACTGTATAGTCTTTATATATAGTGTTTACCGCTATAGAATATCTCAAACATTGACTTCAGTCAACATTTCTTTCGAAACGTACTTACTTACAGTTATCCCATGCCAGGACTATAGTCCTGGACCGAGCGCAATCTTTTGCCTGTATGATTACAACTTGGGAGAATTATCTACGCCCCTTACATTAAAGATACCTACGCAATGTACTTCAATACATGTAGATTCCTTGGTATTTTAGCATTCTTTCCGTGTAGTTGAATCCACAATTTATTGGTACTTCCGGGATACTTCCGGGCCAGTCAAACAGGGAATCCCCTTTTAAATCCAACCGCCATCTTTAAAAGTGATGGAATCTCTCTTGATGTAAAAGAAAAATGTTCCCGTTCTGCTGATATACCCACACAATTGTGGATTCAACTACATGAAAAGAATGCTAAAATACCAAGGAATCTATTGAAGTACATTATGTAGGTATCTTTAGTGTAAGGGGCGTAGATTATTCTCCCAAGTTGTAATCATACAGGCAAAAGATTGCGCTCGGGATAAACTACCAGTACCAGGATTGGAAACAGGAATTCAAAACAATAAAGTTTTATTTATTTTGGTGACTTGAACTTGCACAGCTGTATTACTAGAGTCTTATAGTATCCCATCACTCGAAATTATAAGAAATTAAATTAAAAAAAAGACAAGAGGTCTTAACATCTTAAAAGATGGATTTTAAAAAGGCTGACATCAGTGAAAATGACCCAAAATGGTCGCTGTTTTTGTCATGCAAAATTCTCGCTGAGATGACACTTGTCCATCTCTTTAGCTTGTGATGCAAATGAGAGTCTATCCCAATCTCCGAGCCTTTTGTCCAGTGCAATCCGTGCCTCCTGTGCCTTAGGTAGTGAAGGTACGCAACGAACGAAATGAATTTTGAGAATGAGTCTATCCATTGAATAAGAGACTATGCATCAAATTCTTTGCGCAGTTAAACACAAGAAAGCCCAATTGGGAATTTGCATGTATGAACAAATTAGCCAACTGTGGGATAAACTATTTAAATTTTGAAAATAAGTCACTATGATCGTGTATTACAGCTTTGAATAAATCAGAAAAATAGAATCCAAAATTCAATAGACCTTGATCATGATAATGAAATGATTACTTTATTATTTTCAGAACAGGCTTGCAGAATCAACTCAATACCTACAGCTTAATCGAAATGGCCAAAGGCAAAACATCTGACAAAAATACTCCAGTTCCATCAGTACCTACCCGTGCGAGCAGGCGAAAAAGAAATGTAGATGTAGAAAGCCCTTCTTTAAAGGCCTCAGCTCCACCTAAGAGAAAACGGCAAATAGCTAAGGATCAAAACTCTAATTTGACAATCACAAATGACAATACATCATGTGTAACAAAACCATCGCATGCAGACACAGATGCATCTACTAGCACTGGCAGTACGCTGTCACCATTAGATATTAACACTCATGGATCCAACCTTGTGTTTCCATGTTCCTTGCATCCCAGAAAGTCAACCTACCAGTTCACATGCTCGACACCAAGCCCCAGATACCAGGCAAGCTGCAACAGTGTGATACAGCACTTATTCGCAAACAGAATGGGTCATGGTGGAAAATTCAACAATTTAAAAAAGGTATTTTGTTTATCTGATCATACAGCTGCATCATAAAAGAATGTCATGTGGAAAGTCGTTATCGACTCAAGAAGCATGATACCTGTTAATAATTGGTGCACTCCTTTATATTTTTGACATTGAGTTTAGAATCATGTAGACTTATCAATATCAATATAAAACAAATTGCAAAGAATACTAACCAAAAGTCAGGCTCTGGCTTAAAACAGTTAACTGGTAAATATACTTTCTTCATCAAAACCAAAAGCAAACATGTCTAGAGAGATCTTGCACTTTTTCTGAAATCATTCTCACTGTTCAGTTACCTTCTTCTCATTCCAGAGTGCAAAATCTTCCATAGTTCAACTCGTGACTGACATGCAGTTGTATCGGACAGCTAGTCCTTTTGACAGGCGTGTGACTGCTCTAGAGTGGCACCCGAACAATCCTAGCATGCTGGCTGTAGGGTCCAAAGGTGGTGACATTATACTATGGAATGTCAATGAACTCAACCAGGACACATTTGTTCAAGGGGTTAGTATTAGAGATGTCACGGTTTCCCGATATTAGACTGAATTTGGGACCAGATGCTTCGGTTCGGGACATGGGACAGAAAGGTTTAATATGCTGGATGTAGAAAAGAAATTGAAAAATTGAGCCGGCATCCTAGCCGAAAAAGTCGGCAGTTTGGAAGTTTTTTGGGACTCTGATATCACAAGGTAAACGAATTGGTGATAGTACACCGTGCTGATTATGTGAAATGCCGATCACATCGCAGATGCTTTACATTCGATTTTAATTCTGAATATGATGTCGAAAAATTGAAACTGCCATCATCAGACATTGCATAATTTTTCTTTAATGTCCTGCCCCGTCCCGAAAGTATGGTGTCCCGAGACCATTTGTACCGTTCCATACTGAATCAAATTCTTTTGGACCGTGACACCTCTAGTTAGTATACAGTAGCTAGTATACAGTACAAAAAGTCTTAATATGCTCACAAATAAAAATGATTTTCATTTTTATGTCATAGTGTAGTCTCCAACTTTTTTGTGGATGGTATTCGGTAGGTGGCATACGGTGGGACATTTTGCATGTTAATGCCTTGTATATATACCATTGCTAAAACATTAATAATTTGTATATATACCATTGCTAAAACATTAGTAATTTTTTCAAATGTTGTCCATCTGAGCCAGTAATCACAAAATTCAAAAATTCTTCTATGGTACATTCTAGAAAGGTCCAGGGGGATCTATTCAAGCCATGAAGTTCTGGCCTGATGACCCAAAGTGCTTGCTGACAGCATCCATAGATGGGAAGATAGAGCTACATGATTTTGAGGGTGTACAAAACAAAGTGTTCCTTGATACCATGGACCTTGAGTGAGTTCAACGGCGCTTGGCTGCTTTAGCGCTTTTAAATTATGTCATTTTTTATTTACTTTTCATATGAGGTTAAACTATCAATTATCTATTCATTTGATGAGGTACGCCTATTTGGAAATAGTAATGCAACTGGTCTATGATATAATTTAGACATTAACATGCTGGTCTCTAATCTGGAATACTGATGTAAGTTAGCGAAGTAATAATCTTTTTGTATTGTTTCTGTGTTGCAGCCATTGGTTCTGTGGAGTGGATGTAAACTCACAGAGGAAGGTGCTATCTGCTGGCGATAACAAAGGGAATGTCACTCTTATGAATACTCAGGGCAAAAAGGTAAATCAATTACTGTACTCCCGGTAATTGTCACGCGGTACTATATTTGAAATTTGATAGTTGCATAATTCCAAGGAAATTCCCAGAGATTTCAATGTTGACAATATTTTCGTCCAGTGCTGGGTGATAATAGGTAAAAACGTGACATTTTGAGTTTTGTAAAAGAGAAATTAAAAGAGAGATCGTTATTACTGTATTAAAACGAACATTCTAACGAAAAGGCTTTATAAGAAGCCAAAATCAATGGGTGAAGGACTACCATGGCTGATATCAAAGTCGAAAGAGTGATCCTGTATGACAAATCCGTGGAGATTAATACCCACGAAATTTTAAAAAACTGTAAATTAGCGAAATATGATCGCCGCGAAATTTCAAAATGCCAAAAACGCGAAATATAATAGTGTCAAATATTAGTTGGAGTACAGTATATCTCTAAATAAATGATTTCACCAGTTAAACACATTCCGTCTAAGGTCACATAATGATACAGAATTTTTAATTTATAAGCATGACCATTTCTGCAAAGATACCTTTTGTACTTGTGTACCTCAGGCTATATCCAGTGGTTTTGAAATGCATTTTTAGAGGTTCAGTGACCATTGATTCAAGGGTAGTTTCCAGTTCTATCTTCTATTAAGTCTGATACTGTGAATTGCACAATATGAACATTAATATCTCGCATTATCCTATTGAAGATCTGGCAGTCAAGACTTCATAAGAACAAGGTAACCCATGTAGAGTTCAGCCCAAGAGAGGACTGGTTGCTATGTACTGCCTCTATGGACCAAACTGTTCAGCTGTGGGACCTCAGAATGGTGAAAGATAGGTCATCAGTACTCAAAGTTCTTCCTCACAGCAAGGGAGTCAATTCTGGTAAGTGTATCCCATCAAATAGTTTGAGAACAGGTCATCCCAATACAGTGATGAGTTGAGGTGATCATTTGTCTTGAGGCTGATCGGTATGTTCTTGTGTGCTATTTCAAGTAACCATTTTGTGAAGACCTGCCTTTTTCAAAAAATGATTGAAATTGAGCTGCGAAAAGCGTTCTTTTACAAAAGTAAATTGATGATTTGATATAGATTTAGAAGTGCCCTGATGTGAAATTAGATCCAGTTTACAGGTGATCATTAAGTATTTTGTTTATGACAGCATATTTCAGTGTATCTGATGGTACAAGGTTACTAACTACAGACCAGTACAGTGACATTAGAGTATACAGATCCCCTGAGTGGCACCTAGAAACCAATATACAACACCCTCATAGAGGCTTCCAGCATATCACACCTATAAAGGTAACTTTGCTTATTCTTTTAGCATACTTTAGTCCTACAGATGGCAAGAGGCTTTTGTGTACGGATCAACATGATGAGCTCCGAGTGTATGGGGGTCCTAGTTGGACCCTTGGAACAACCATTAGCCACCCTCACAGGGCATTTAGACATATCACCCCAATTAAGGTATTAAATATAGTTATTGTGAGATTTTAGAGAATTTGAGATTTTAGAGATTTTGAATTTGGTTCACATTTCGAGAGAACTGGCAAAGAAGAGATACAGTAAACATGTATGTAAGTTAATTTGGCAAGATAAAATTACATTTATAATGCATGCAACAGATTATTCTTTGTCACAGATTTATACAATCATGTACATTTCAATTTCCAAATTCTGAGACATATTTTTACCAAAGTGATCCTTGTATATCATGGTTGTATATTGTTGTTTTAGGCTCAGTGGCATCCACTAGAAGACCTTATTATTGTTGGTCGCTACCCTGACCCCAAGTTCCCAGGTTATACACAGGGTGAGAAGCGTACCATCGATGTATTTGATGCTGATACAGGAGATGTTAAATGCCAATTGCATGACCCAGGAGCACCTGGTATTATTTCTGTAAGTACAATATGAATGGAATTACTCGTATGTCATACTATTGCCAATTATTCCACATGTTGCATGAAACATTTTAACTGGAGATTTTCTAGGATACAACAAATCAACTGACCAACATAATAATCAATTAACATTTTTTCCACTACAATATCTGAGATACTTCTTTTAATATTTTACATTATTGCAATATTCTTAATGATGTTCAAACATATATCACATCGTTGTGTGCCACATTTCAACATTGTTGTTTATTCCAAATTCCAATCATTGGTTATGAAAATAAATTCATTGACAGTCCTAGAGCCAGCTTTTGCCAAGGGGGTTCCAGGAGGGTTCACATTTGACAACTATGGCCCAAAATCACTTAAAAACTGCTCTGAATTTGTGAAAATTGTATGATTTTGAGAGAATTTGAGGCCAGGAGGGGGGGGGGGGTCGGGTTAAGCTGCCTGGCCTGATTAAAGAAAAATAAACCTGTATTCATGCTGTATTACTGTGCTATATTGTCGTCATATTGTTATTTTTAGTTGACAAAGTTTAACCATCAAGGAGACAGTTTGGCATGCGGAATGGGTGAGTAAAATGTTTGTGTTTCATTCACTGTCTGCCATATTATTCACAATATGATTTTTATGTCACCAACAGAGGTATTGTTTAAGTCTCCAACTTTTTAGTGGATAGTGTTCAGGGGTTGGTGTTTGGCATTTAGCACGTGGTGGTCAGGATTTGGTGTCTGTAACAAATGACAGGTGGTGACATGTTAATGTCTTGTTTTTGATTGGTGTCTGATGACTGAGATCTATGAAAATATTGATGATAATATATGCTTGGCTCCCTTGACTAAGTAACCTGACCTCCTGGAGTATTTTCCATTAAGTATCTTCCCACAACCCCATGCTTTTCGTTTAAATCCTCAGAGAATAGCCAAAATCCAACATATGGCTATCCGAAATCTGTTGCACTAATTTCCCTCCTCTGAACATTTTCTCGAGAAAACTTTATGGCCAGAATTATGTACAGGGTGTCTCGAAAGTATGGGGCCCCCCCTAGGCAGACATATTCCAGTGTCCTCCTAGTATGTGTCATATATCATTTTAAAGCTTATCCAAAGTTACATTGATTTGCCAAGTATCATGGTTTAACTCCCAAATGGGAAAAAGTTACAGTCATTTTAAAAGTTAGTGTTTTGTCAAAATAAAGTTCAATTTTACACCACATCACTAGTCAATGAGTCCCCCCTTGGCCATGTTCACAGCAGCAATTATTTTCATATATGACCTTAAAGGCCCTTGAAATAGGGGTGTGGAATTTTATAACCCTCTTAAAACCTGTTAAGGAACTTTAGAAGAGTTTCCTTAGAGTATCTACCCTCACCGTTCTCTTTTTCCCACTCAATATCCATCCGACCTGAAAATAATTGCTGCTATTAAGATGGCCCGGGAGGACACATTGACTAGTGTTTTGGTGTAAAATTGAACTTAATTTTGACCAAACACTAAATTTTGAAATGCCTGTAATTTTTTCACATTTGAGAGTTGAACCATGATACTTGGCGAATCAATGTAACTTTGGATAGGCTTTAAAATGATATATGACACATACTATGACCACACTGGTATATGTCTGCCTAGGGGGGCCCATACTTTCGGGACACCCTGTATATTTATTCAAACACCTCATCATGTGCACAGAATTTGTTTTAGTTTTCATGTCACCACCACAACCTTTTTGTGGTCGTTGTTTGGTGTTTGGTGGTCATTGTTCAGCATCTGGTGTTTAGTGTTTGGTGTCTGTAATAAATGACAGGTGGTGACATTTTGCCTGTTAATGTCTTGTTAGATGTTCCAATCCTTGCTGTTTCATCTGTTGAAAATCATGTTCATGGTTTGAAATTATATAAATGTTATTATATTAGTCAGTGTGGCAACCAAAACAAACACATAGAAATCAGAAACAATAATCAGTAAAAGATAATGAATAGAAAAACTTATTATTTTTGTTAATGGTTGTTACAAAATTTGTTTTGATATTATATATGTTATATTTATAATAATATTATAAATGGATAGCAACCAAAACAAATACATAGAAACCAGACACAATTAACAAGAAAAAAAAATGAATAGAAATATGTGTATATACATGTATGTTGCATTTCTCAGCCTCCTCCTTAGGATTTTTTCCTTAGTGGTTCCAAAATTTTCATTTTCACAATTCAGATCAAAATTGGCCAATATATGCCTTGATTTTTCATTTTTCTCATTTTTTTTCAATTGGGTGCAAATAGATTTTTAGATGAGTGTTGCGCCTACACACTTAAATGCTGGGGAGATCACTGTTTCTAATAGACTAGGTGCGAGTAGATATAAACTTGTTTTACATCATTGAATATTCAAAATTCAGACAAAGTGATGTCATATTTGTAATCTACATGAAAAAAAACAGCTAGAAATATGATTCCGAAAATTGTTAATCAACTTTGAAAATTCAAGATTTTTGAAAATGTGATTTCTAGCTCGGGTTGATTCCCTATAGACCCCATGTTACAAAAGCACCAAATGTGAAATATCTTTTCTTGTATTGGACAGATAACATTTTATTTTGCTGGACATATTTTAATTTGCATAACTATTAGATACATAAGGGTTATATGAAAATTGAACCACTGAAAGAAATTAAAGTTAAGTTGAAGGGAACTTTCTCCTATACCCGCCATGTTATCTGGCCCGAATGAGCCACCTGGTGGTGAAACTGGTAACTACTTACTCGCATCTGCGTTATTGATTTTCACACAATGTATGTAGAATTTATCATATAGACCATGTATTCTGGGAAAATCTTAGAAAAAGCTGGACAAAGTTATCTGTAGTTAAAGCCATAATGGTTAAAGTCTTGAAAATGGTCATTAATAATAATCTGTTGCGTCAAAGCAAATAAAGTTATTATTTGACCTGTTCATATTCATATTCAAAATTGAATTCAAGTTATCAATAAAGCAGATGTGCATTTCATTGAAATCAACCTGTAAACATATTACTGTACCTTATTTGCATAGACAGCATGTTAACAGCACAACTTAGACATTTCATAGCAACAAAGTTCATGATTGGTAAATCCGCCACAGAAGTATATGTTCATTAAATTTTCACTCTGCTGCACAACAAGCACTCTGAATGAAGTCAAAGCAGGTGTTCGATAGGACACATCTAGCAAGGTCTTCTTTGCTAAATTTTCCTAGAATTAAAAGTTGTTTATGTGGAGGGAACTTGAAAACTCAAAATGATTAAAGAATAACCTCCACTTTTGAACTGAATTATTTCTAATCCAGTTTGGTGTTAAAACTCTCATAGGAAACTGGAAAAATTAGAAATTGATGTGTAAGAATATGTTTTCTAAGAGTATTCCTTTTACTTTATACAAACAATGTTCATACCAATGTCCTTTTCAACAGCATTCCCATATGAAAAGCATAACATCTCAGGCATTTCCTCGACAACATCATATGCACCAATATCTTTCTGCTCTCCTTCAGCCTTAATCACATCTTCCTCCTTGGCTCCATCTTCTCCTACCACAGGGTATTAAGATTTCCTACCACAGGATAGAAATATAAGATACCACATGTCATGATACCACAGGGATAAAATATAAGATACCACAGTGTCATGAAATAAGATACCACAGGGTTAGAATATAAGATACCACATGTCATGATACCACAGGATAGAAATATAAGATACCACATTATCATGATATAAAATACCACATGGTTAGAATATAAGATACCACAGTGTCATGAAATAAGATACCACAAGGTTAAAATATAAGATACCACATGTCATGATACCACAGGGATAAAATATAAGATACCACATGTCATGATACCACAGGGATAAAATATAAGATACCACAATATCATGATATAAGATACCACATGGTTAAAACATAAGATACCATAGGGTTATGATATTATACAGGAATATTATATAAGATACTTAGATGTATGATGATAATAGATACCATTTTGAGAAAATGCTAACATGGAATGCTCATTTAAACCATAAGTCAAGTGCTTTAACTTGTTTAAAACATGGAAAAAATTTGCACTTTTGCATTTTGCACTTTTGCATTTTTATACTTACCATTTAACATATTTTTGCCATATTTACCTTTCCTGTAAGCAGTCTTCTTAAACCTAGGAATGCTTTACCTGCCCTTGCACTTAGGACTTCAAAACTTCCAGTTTCATTAATCTGAATCAAGTAAAATAACAGTTAATTCATCAAAAGGTAGTGACATTGATCACCAGTCCTTATTTTACATTGACATCATTATAGTTAGAGTATTTATGTATAAAAAGTATCTGTGTAAAAAAGCGTCCATTACTTATTGATCACCCCTCGTATAAATAACTGCATTTTGCGAATTGAATTATTTCATTTGCAAAAATGTTATTGTTAGGTACAGACATCTGACTGCTGTTGGCACTGAAAGGTTTCTATGTATTGTAATTTCTGATGATATTATAAAATTGGTCACGATTACAAAATTTATTGTTTTGCTTACGTATAAGTCAAAATAATATTACATGATGTGTTTAAATGAGTCATTTTCATTTATTTTTACTATCATTATATACTAGTTGTGAGTAGAAATAATTGTGATTTGCGTCATTAAATATTCAAAATTCAGTCATTGACAAAGTGATGTCATATTTGAAATCTACATGTTAAAGAACATATGGTTTCGACAATTGTTTATCAACTTTTAAAATGCAACCCTCCATTTTCTTCAATATTTTCTTTAAATGAAGCTTAATTGCTCTGAAAGACTTCATTCAATGTTGGAGCATATTTTGGAACGACCATAACTCTATCAAACTAAGACTGATTATTAAAACTTTGCCTGAGGATCCCACATTGAATGAAGTCATTGTGTGCCAAATTTCAAAGCAATCAACCTTCTAATAAGAAAAATAATGGGGGTTGCATTTTTTGGGTCACCATGTATATGCAATAAATTGATTGAGTTCTATGATATTTTGTACCCCTCCTTGTTGAATTGAGATGGGTAAAGCCAAATATAGAATATTATATTCACTTGTTATGAGAATGTTATTTATGTTCACTTTTACGCCTTTATATTAACTGTTGTCATGACATTAAAGATTACTTATCTAAATATTTGTCTGTGTATATAGCATTAATGTAAATAATTGTCTTTTCTTTAGTGGTGTCATAGTACTATAAACTTAGCCTGGCTATTTCCTGCAAAATCATAATATGTGTTTAATGAATTAAACATGAGATAAGATGTCCCCTCTTAATACTAGTACACCCCAACTCTGGTAATACTTCTAAGATTTGGAAAAGGGGGGGGGAGTATTTATATTCCTGTGGGGAGAGATATCATACAAATTGGACATCCTCCAAACACAGGACTCCAGACATCATCCACTAAGTTCCTTCCTTCTTAGGAGAATTAAGAAGAGTTAAGTATGTTTGGAGAATGCAAATTGGAGAGGCCGACCCTTCTGGCATATTAATTTTGATATTTATGCCCTGTATGCTCCTTATTGGGTATACTTGCTTGTCCCTTGGGAGGGTGTTACAAATTAGAATGATTTTCATATATTTCAACCCTGATAATATTAAATACATACAATACAACCACATGTGGAGTACTGAAGTTATCTGAACATGGCAGACATAGCCAAATATATAATGGTATATTTCATGAAAAACAGCTTATTTTGATTTTTTGAGGAAGTGTAGGTGTACAGTATAAATTAACGAAGATCATTCTCTGCGTCATAAAACCAAAAAAATGAGCAATCAAAGGACCAACTGCATTAAGATAATAACATATGTAGGAGGAAATGTGTATGGTAATGTAAATTAATAATGAAGATTTGATAATATACATTAATGAAGATATGATAATGTAAATTAATGAAATGCATCATTTGCGTCAATCAAACCTAAAACATAAGCAATTAAATACTGCAGTGCAATATATGTTATTGAAAAATATATTCATGTTTCAAGATGTAAAACATTTGTATATTTTTGATAACATGTTAATAAAATGTATGGCCTCTTGTAATTTGATGTTTTTCTGACATGTTGAATCTACAAAGTTTTGCATCTAGAATATGAGCGTATAATATTATATATATTCCAAATAAATTTCACTTTTGTCCTTTATTGCTTAATAGCCTCCTTAATCTTCAGGTTTGATTGATCAACACACAGAAAAATTGATTCGGATTTAACAAAAATGTTTTCAGTGACAATTCATAATCTTCATATATGAAATAATAATTTATCATATTCCATACCTTTAATTACAGTACAAAAAAAGATATAATATATATATATATATAAAATTTTAATATTTTAACACAAATGAACTGGGTGTTTTGTATACAGTACCTATATCAAATGATAATCCAGAAGACTTCTTAAACATTGCTCATGGAAGTATCAAAGTGGCACAAGTATCTGTGTTCCAGGGTCCATTATTATGCTTGAATTCCTGGTTCATCTTGCTCTCAGGTTGTGCTGTATATTCTGTCGTTGATTTTGTTGTTTGAGAAGATCAGCTTGTTGGTTTGATTGTGAATGTTTGTGTCGTTGGTTTGAGTTGGTTTAGAATGTAATGTATTTTCCTGTACCACTGTAATCCTTTTACCATCTGATGTGCTATATTTAACCAAAACAGACCAAAATACTATAGTATATGTATTCTTACTCTAGTCACACTTATTAATACACAGATAATTTATAAGCCAAAACATTAATATTTTGTCAGTTTGTAGCCAAATTAATACCCAGATTTTTAACTTAATGCCTATACTAATAGAATAATCAATACCCCTATTGTATCTAAACATTCATCGTTGAATTTAGGCAGCGATATTGAATGCAACCAAAGCAATTACCTTGGTCAGAATTTTAACCTCACTATTCTTTTTAAAAAAATTCTATCAGAAAGAAAAAATAACTTCATTATGTGTTCCACAGCTCTGTCTACTATCAGGAAGTAGTGACAAGTTTCATATTTAGACATCAAGGACTCTGACAACTTGGAACATGTCAAATTACTTTTGCCTAAGTAAGTAAAATTTCGAGCCTAGCCGTAAGCCCAAGTCCCTACCTCCCATGAGTTTCCTAAAGGTTATGTCAAAATGACTAATTTAAAAGTGGTGCTACGATGCTTGAATGAACTCTGTAAGGTAGCAAAGGTTACAATTGAGGTTTGAGTTGGTCCCCTGTACTATGATGTTGTTATATACATTTTGGATTAAACCACTACTGTTGATTATTTAGAATACTTGGATTTTAGTGTATCTGATTATGATGTCATAGGTGTGATAATATATACTGGGTGTCCAAAGAGTCTTTACACAGACTTTGTATTGACATTGTAAAGCGACTTTCAGCTTTCGGCTCTAGATTTTGCAAATTGTTTTAATGGATGTCCTTCATGGTGTGCTTATTCTGAGTTATCCGCATATTGTATTATTTGGGATGTATTAGAGTATTATTTATCTATGACATATTTGTAATATGATGTACTTTTGTAATTTGACCTACTTTTGCAACTAAATCAAAAATGACCACCAAAATATGACAAAAAATGATAAAAGCTATGAGAAGTTCTCATAAGGTAAACCTTCATGTATACCACATTGTTCACATTGTTGGTTTTGTGAATGAAGGAATTAAAATATTTGGTGTCATTTTCTAGTTTTCAGTAATATAGTATCATATAACAGTTATATAATATTGTTTAATTATGCAAATAATATAATTTCAGGTTTCAACATCTTACTATGGAACAGACGAGAGTTTGTAGAAGAAAAGCAAGAAAAACTGATGTCCCAGTTTAATACTCATTTCAACACTAACAATGACGCAAATAACACAAGCGCGCCTGAATCTACAGACAATTCAGGTAATTCAGGTGGAAAGACAAAAGGAAGCAAAAATACAAAAACAAAAAAGGATAAACAAACGAGAGCTGATGATGCTGCTGTAAAAGCAAAAATAGCAAAGACTAAGAAGAAATGAAGGAGATCCTTACGTACCAATAAGCATTAAAACTCAGGAATATGAATACTGAAGATTGGAGACACTTATACACAGTCAGACAGTGCATTGCTTGTAGTCATTATATGTCTCTCGGCCAATCATCTTAGAGTATTTCAGTGTATTAATTGAAGGACATAAATGAAGGTACATGTATATGGTCAACTGAGCAGAAATATCATTTTATAGTGCATTGTGGTTTCATAATGAACTGAGCAGTGACATTATTGGTAAAAGAGTAACATCCTCACAGTGCATTATGGTTTCATAAAAAAATTGGACATTGTCATTTTTTTTATAAAAGAGTGATAGTGTATTTAAATTGCAACATGGAACCCTGTATAATTTTTTTTATTGGATTTAAAAGCATTCATGCATGTACTAACCCATTCTGATAATGTACTCAGGCTCTACCCTTGTGCATAATGTGTATGGACTAGCGCATGCTCTCATGCTTTGAAATGTCCAATATACTCCAGATACAGGAGTTTTTATTCATTAATTAATTCATGTAATAAGATCAATAATGAACAGGTGAATCAGTTTTTCTGAATTCCATTTTATACCAAATGATACTTACATATGATATGATACAAAATATTTTTGAGAAAGACTTCATACAGTACTTTACTAAATACTTTATAACTTTTTTCTCCATCATTTTGAAGCCAGTGTTTATAATCATTCAGAGGAATTTTTGAAGGATATATTTTCCGATATGCGGACAAAAATGAGCCTATGTCTTGAATTCAGTAGTGAGTACTTCAACTCCAAGTCATCTAGTGCATCCAATAAAAACATTCAGACCTTGCTTTATATTCATTATTCAAATATTGCATGCCTGATTGTGATAATGATACTTGAGATATGTTATTGGAAAATTGGAAATGTTTACTTCTTTGATTGAATGATTCCATTGATCATGGTGATTGCTAATGTCATTATGTTGAGAAAACCCTGAGGACATTTGGGGTCAATGTCATGATATCTGGTACATTGACAGGGTATTCATTTCAAATTTCACTCAGGGTTTTTAGAGTACAACAATTCTGTAATGTAGTGTAACAAAACTAGTGGGTCCGGGGGCATGCTCCCTGGAAATTTTTGGATTTTAGACCTTAATAGTGTATTCTAGTGCGCCCTGACTGTGTCTTGAAGAGAAGTAGTCCAAGAAGGATCATGAATCAAAATGCCTGATGAAGGAGCTCATGTGAAATATTTACTGTGTATACTGGCTTCATGAAAGTCTACATATACTATTTGGAAAAACATTGCTATGCACTTTCATCATGTCCACATGTTTTAAAGAAATATTTTCATAAAGAAAAATAAAAGATCTATAAAAATATAGAATATTATTACATGTACTGTGCATTGATAGTCAAAGTTCAAACTTTGAAGGATTTAAACCCTGGACTCTAAGCATCGTGGACGGATCACTATTTTAAGGTGTTGTTTCAAACTTTGCACAAGATGTGTAGCATCGAGTTTTAAGTTCAGGAAACAACACCAGAGTGGAATGAATCAGCCACAATGCATCGAGTCTCTGGCTTAAATTCATTTCACACATTGCAAAAAAATATTTTATACAATATCACTTAAATATATGAAATACTGTACCTTAAAAGAATGTATTTTCAAAGAAACTTTTGCAAGGGTCAAGTTGTCACTTCTGTTTGTGTCAGTCTGCATCATGAATCGTCACCTTGACAACCATTCAACACTTACCATTTGACCTGCATAAACATATGGCTTATTATCCCTATGTGCATGATGCATGAGATAGATATGCAATACAGATGAAAATATAGTTAAAAAAAAAGTAATTCAGTACCAGAGTTGTAGGTCTGGTGTTTATTTGAAAAAGCATACATTAGAAAGAAAAAACTTTTGACCCAATAGGTGAAGTAATATTTAGGATTTCTCTGAATTAAAATTGCTGATCTTTAATAATATTAATAGGTCATGAAAAGCTTAATGATTAAAGAAATTTAATGTCCTTAAGCTGAACACTCGTCAAATCATCACTGCTATACCTGGAGCCATCTATAGACAGTAAACAACTACCTTAATGGGCTATTAATGGGCTAATTCATAATGATATATAACTTACACATAGCAATCAATGAGTTGTGCATAAACCTTCTTTTCAGTAATTATTGAACGCTGAAAAAATGTCCAAGCAAAAAATAATTTATTGTCTTTTTTTAAAAATTGTGCTAGAAGATTTTTCAATTTTAGAACTTGTCATAGTCATACTGCTAATGAGGTGATGATTTAAAAAAATTAAGTTTCGTTATTTTTAGAAAAGATTTGTATCCTAAGACTATTGATTTTGTCAGTTTATTATCATCATAAATTAAAAATATTAACCCAATGTGGTTGGATGCAAATGCAATTTGTTATTTCACCACCACCTGTGTATGTCATGTAACTAATTCTTCCACTTCCAATAACTTCACAAATACTGTTTAGACTGACTTCAATTTTTTCAAAGTCATCTACAAGTTCTCAGAAGTTCAAATATGAGTTTAGATTTCAGATTCGACCTCCAATGACCTTCTCAAGGTAAAAAAAGGTCAAAAAGGTATTTTTCAACTTGCTTCAAATTCACAATTTTTTTCAAGATCAGCTACAACAGGAGAGTCCAACTATATACAAAACACCATAAAGGAGTGGTATCGATATGGTGAACTTTTTGAACATGCATTTCTCTTAAACCAGTCAATTAAATGGCCATCTTTTGGATGGTAACATTATAATTTGAATTGTATATATATCCTTTTTTCTATATTGTTTTAGAAAACACATCAGACACTTCTTTTGTTCTTGGCATCATATGTTCGGAATGAAATGAAACATCTATCTACACCTCATTGGAACAAAAGAATGATTGATTTTAAAAAAGCATCTTGTTGATGAAATAAAAGGTTTATCTCCTTAATTTTTATCTATTTTGGGGGGTTTTGTTTTAAGTTTTTGCATATTTTTTGTTAAATCAACCCAAATTTCCTTTGTATAACTATAATAATGAAAGAAAATGTTGTATATGCTATTTTGTTTCAACAAGGTTCGGAAAGACATTTCATTTCATTGTCAAGAATTGGTAGAAAGGAACAAAAAACAATTGCACTAAAAAACAAAAAAATGTTAACAAAAACAGTTATAAAAAATATATATAAAAAAATGTTAGCTTTAAATTGTTGTCAGTCAGTCAACATTACATAAAGGACCGTGTTTTTTTACAAAATGTTTTCAAGAATTGGTTTAAGAGAAAAACATTGTTGAATTCAGTTCACCATATCGATACCTATCCTTTGAATTTAAAACCTTCCAGATGTTTGAAAATCAAGAATTGTGACTCTCATACTGCACTTGTTCCATACAAAACAAAACAAATTTGCCCTTCTGTTTGTACATCATTCTGTTTGACAGAGTCCCTCCTTTTACCGCTTGGGTCCCCAGTTGTAAGACAATTTTTGGGCCCAACATTTTTTAGGGGCCCTATATATTTGGCCTTATTTTTTAATTTTACGCCAAATTATCAAGAAAATGGACCTTAGATTTTCAAAATTTCCTGGATCCACCCCAGGTTCAATTTGACATTAGGGTTAAAGGAGCAAATATGACAGCTAATGTTCTTTTTTAAGTACTTGTTTTTCTATAGCTAAAACTTACCAGAGCCAGATAGAAAATTGAATGTCTTTGGGCCTACTTAGTACAATACTTAATTAATTTTTTCTGCAAGTCAAACAGAAATGAGTTGGAGCGCGGATCTTAAAGTCCATGGTGGGAGTAATGGCAGAACAGAACTGAATTTTGATCAACCTAGCATTAAAAATATAAATCAATATGTCTCAGAGGATATTTAAAGATTACATTTTTGAAGATGTGTGTTAACTATTTACTAATAGAAGGAAAGTATAGGTATGTGAGTGATTTGATAAGTAGGACTTGTGAGACTTTGGACCAGATTTATTTATCGTCACTTTATAACACCTCTTTATCTGAATAAGTTGTTGATCTACTTAAATGAAATTGTTTATCTGGCTTATCATAAAATATTTGTTTGTATATGTTTCTGATACACAATGTATCAATGCATGTATACATTTAAGGCTTTTTGTGTTGTTTTCCTTGAATCTTAGTCTCTTAGATCACAATGGCATGTCAATTTAAATTTCCCGGTAATAAATAATTATTTCGTTCAGTGTATACGAGTACAGGTCACGTGATCATTAAAGGAACCCGCCATATTGTTATGGTAGAAGGTATTTTATCTCGGTCAAAGAAAGAGTGTAAAACTATACTTCCTCTTCACAGATATTTTAGATATTTTACATAAATTATGGCGAGGCTTAGAGGGAAACGGTGATCGTCATGTGTGAACCATCAATAACTTATAGGGTGAGTATTTAGATATCAAAAGTGGAACATAATTGAAAAAAATTCGATCAATGAAATGATTCAAGACAAAGACCATGAGTAAGATAATGATTTATTTACCCTTCTTTCTACTGCTTTCTCATTTTAAATATGTTTATGATATAAATACATATTTCTCTTTGAAATTAGAACTCTATAACATTTAGTTTTCACGAAAACCAGCAGACATCTTTGTGTTCAAGAACCTCTACAAACAAAGAAAAATGGCATGGATCTGAGAGTTCTGCATTTCCCATTATCTATGGTTTATGCAATTCACATCCTTATTCAGATAGTTTTTATCACCAGGTATTTGTTGTTTTCCTTACGTAAGTATCTGTGTTATTTATTAAGGCAATTATAAATGTTATAAATTTTTGTTTACAAAAAGTCAAGTCGAAGTCAGTAAGTACACTTCAACCCTGTAAGGTTGAATCACATGTACATTTAAACAAATACTTGAACCAAGGAGTATATAGTCAACAGAATATAACTACAGGAAGTCGATAAGAGTCATAGAAAGTACAAAAAACAAAATTGTGAAATAGATCAGAGCAAAGGGATATATTGTTGATTATCAGATTATTAGTTGTATAGGAAGAGGAAAAAAGAGACACAGTATGAATATGTATTGAGATAATCATGTAGCAATTTGAGATATTTTGTAACATATGCAAGGTAAGTACATATATACATAATTTTATATATCCTTTATTTGGTTGATTAGTGACAAGACACTTATAGGTTTGTGAGACTAAAATATTTACTTGTTCGGGACACAGTAGTAGATTCCTCAAAAATTGTTCTAAGAGTATATCAAAATATATCATTGTACTGACCAAGTTG